TATGAACAGTAATCTTGATAATCTGGACAATAATAGGCCATGGCTGCGGCGTCGGAAGGCGAGACCTCTTCCTGCATCAGGGCTGCTATGACCAACGTGAGTTCATTTGTTGAACGAATATAATAGCATAATTGTCATCAAGGTTCAAGCGATATTTACAGACTTTTTTGCCTCATTACCTTATTTTAAGCCCCCAAGATCTTGACCAATGAACTCAAGATCGCTTCTCAATTACAGGGCCCACCTCATGTTTTTCTTAATGCCAATTCGCCCCGTGATTCTGTTGGAACCGTCATGGATGTATTGAAGATAATATCGAAGAAACTTGGCTGGTGGTGAGAGCTGTTCTATTTTAAGAAATTTTATTTTCTCTCAGATTCTAACAACCCTCATGCGTGTGACTCCCTGATTTTCAAAATGAAATATAATTTCTTTTTACTCGCACAAATCTTTCGAATTGACACGAAAATAAAAAGATACACATAACACACGTAAAGGAAACGTTCATGTATGCAAAATATGTGTAGATTTCAAATATTCATGCATTCATCTATTATACTAAGACTAATTAAAGTAATTAATTATACTATCATTGTTGCAGCTTCTCCTTCCGACGAGCAAAATATGATTTCATCGGAAACATTTTGCCCAACGACACATGGGACGGTGCTATAGGCGAAGTAATTCGTGGAGTAAGAATTGGGTTAACATTATTTGCATGTTACTGTTATTAATGGTGTCATGATGGAGAGATAAACGCTTCATGATGAATTAATAATGTACGTTTGGAAGTAGTACGTATTTTATGTAATGATTCAAGTCATGCATGTCAAGTCATTATGAATTTATTTATACATTTATTTTCTGAGTCAAGTCATGCATGAATACATAAATCACTTTTTACAATTATCGCAGAATATAAATATGGAATGAGGCATGAATTATGTCGGATCAAAACAGTCTCAGATTAACGCTACTTTGATTATTTGAATTTACATGACTTTTTACATTCACAAATTTAATATACCTATTATTTTCTAAAGTTGATAGTACAATGATTATATTCTGCTTTGCCTAGTAAGTTGATTCGAGATTGAGTAGAGATCGCGAGTTCAAATTTGTTTGACATTCTGGGTGTCTTGTTATTTCAAGAAAACTTGACCACGACTAGACTGGATCTGTTGTTTTTGCCGGTATAAATCGCAGCAATTATTGTTAATTCTAGCATTGTTGAAGACACGATTAGAAGAAAGTAAAAAATTTGTCGATAATGTCATTGGTAGAAATGACCGCAAGCTCATCGGCATATAGTTTGGGTAAACAATTTAATCATGGGGTGAATCGTGGGTTAAGCACGGTCATTTATACCGCCAATCAAAACTCGAACATGCGCTTTAAAAAGTTCCACGTATCATCGGTGCTCAAATACGTTTAAAGTTCGGATGATTGGGTTCATCACAATCAGTTGGATCATGGGACATAAAATATTGCGAACCATGCTTGCGTTCTAGCCTACATAGCACAGTTGTTCCACTCAATAACCATCATTTAATTGAATATACTGGCTTAGAACATGTGTTTCATTTACATTTTTGGAACACTCTTCAGAACGTGGGTGCCCATCCAAATTGATCAACAAAAAGCTATTAGGTCCTTCACAAAACCCATTATACAGATCTCGAAACTTCGCAAAGGGCACAGCTCATGCAATGTAATCACTGTAAATATTGTTCATATCGATTCGATGTAACTCGATTAGAATTAATACATTTTAATTCGTTGTGATAGACTACTTTAATTGGTGTTAAGTATTGCATTAGGATTCCTGAAATGTGCCACTTTATTTTTTATTCACCACCTGTGTCTTCGGCAATGAATGTTTAATTATTTGTCATTGCTGCGTGATCCATCACAGAGTTACGTGTTTTCATTAGTTCTAGTAATATATGTGATTAGAATTTGCGTCTTAATTCAGTGGTGCTTCAATAATTGTAAATTTGAAGGTAAATCTATAAATGTGCTTTGTTTATTTGTATAGCGTTCGGTTTCATATTCAGTGTTTAGCTAATTATTACTAATCCTAAATATACGTTCATTTTCACATTTCAGAAAGACTCCGAATCTCTAATCCGAAAACAGAACATTTGCTACGAAAACGCACAGTTTATTTATGTTTTGATTTCTTGTATTTATATCTTATTAAATTTATTGTAATTTTCATTGTCATTTTATTTATACCTTATTTGCCACTATACCCATATTTAATTTAGTACCATTACGAATCCCTTCATTTTCGAATATTTTTAATGGGTATATCACACTTAACTGGATGGACTTTCTTTTTCAAGCAAAACGTATATGAATTACGTAGAGTGAATTCACAATCTGTAGTTATCAATTACTTCAAATGGTACATTAGCTCTCATTTTCCCATTGTCATAAATCCAAATTATGAATGTATTAACTTGAATTTAATATCTTAGTTTCATCTTTCTCATTTTGCTGAAAATCACTGTTTGTTCATTGATTGTGGAATTTTCAGTTTTTCATAATCGTTCAAAGAAGTGATCTTTAATTCATAATACTTCTATTACTTTATTCATATTTATATTTAAGGCTACAAGCCGATCAAGACCCTCTTTAAATGCTTTTAATTTGAGCTGAATTTTCTGCAATAATTATACTTTTCCAGCGAAAGACACCAAATTTTACTTTAAATTTGTCAATATTACCCGTATCGTTTTTACTTCTCTATCAATTTTCCAATTTCAATTCAATTCTATCATTCCCTGAGTTACTTTTATAACCACATTTTTTACTTTTTTTACTTATGGCATTTCTTTCTTAACGAAGTTTATATGCGCCATAACAATTTTTTTTCGAATAACACCTGAGATATAGGCAACTTAATTTCTCAGCCACATAAATTTTTATATGTACCGTCTATTTACTCAATTGGTTTGGAGATATATGTAGTCTTCGATTGCTCAATTCAAAATTATTTTCAGCATCAAGCTATCGAAACCTCTTACCTCTAAGCTGTGTTCGTCATTTATATTTGGACTCTAGTTATCTCAATGACTAAACAGTAGAAACGTCTACTGCCTTTCCTAAATTTAAAAAATGTTGCATCCATTTAACTTTTCAGACTCAGTATAGGTCAGGTTCAGCCATAATTATCAGAGTAATAACAAGATTTAATTTCCTTATCCCAACAAGTCCAATGCGTTCCTGTTACTTCCTCTACATCTAGATTCAAGATTCCTCACCCTATTTTCATAGGTGTCAAAGGGAATGAATTTCTTACGAAAATATCTGTCCCGAGGAACTTGAAGGATGTTTTGAATCATGTCTTGTTAATGGTTTAATAGGTATTATCTTCTTTTTGCAGTCAAGTAGAGACATTACATACGAGATTATTTTTCGCTGGTATCAATCATTAATCAGAGCCTTTTCAGCTTCAATTGCTTCAACATCTCGCTTTGTTTCTTGTAAAACTTTATCATCAGCTTTCTTTATGCTACCCGCACTAGCTATTGCAGAGGCTACTCATGCCAGACTCAGCAGCTCCTTAAGCTCCTAGTATTACTTTAACTGAGAAGATGAAACTTTCTTAACCGCTTCTTTTGTAGATACAAAACAAGTGTAAGTTTCTTGCAAATGTAGCAGCGCCTTACTGCAATATTGTATTATTATTAGTTTAAAAATACTGAGAATTATCTGTTCAGTCTAGTTTTCACACTTTGCGTTATGAATCATTTTAATAACATACAAAGGCAAAAGGATTTTGACATTTTTAGTAATTTATTTACATTTTTACAGCATTACTCTCTAACTTCACTTCCTGTTGTCTGCTAAAATTCTTTTAATAAATATTTAACACACTTTTAATTGTCTAATCAAACTGAAATTTTGCACACTTGCGTAAAGTCGGAGACAATGCATGAATCAATTGACAAAACAAGTAATTTTGAAAATGTAAATGATTTTTTAATATTAAAGATAATTGAAAAACAATTTTGTCTGCTACAAATCTTATAATCAATATTTAATACACTTCTAATTGTCAAATATATTTGAAATTTTGCACACTTGCATTAAGTCGGAGACAATCTATGAATCAATTGACAGAATATATGGATTTAAATGTGTATTTTTTACATATAAAAAAATTACAAATTATTTTTTGTTATATTTGAAACTAAATTAGAAATTCATTGTGCATGTGTAACTTCGGAGACGCTGGATTCTTTAGAAATGTTGTCTCTGAAAATTATTTTTAAACGCAAATAATTGATCATCACATTGCAATTGAATGATCCTGAGTGAAATAATTAAAGCGTAAGCATAAAAATATCAGAAATTTCATAATCGGACTTAGCTTTGATCGTCATATCAAGAAGACTGACGTACATCCGGTCGACTGATATTAAATACAATTTCTGTATAATTTAAATCCCTGTATACAACAGCAAAATTTTTAATCTTGAATATCAAAATAAATTTTTAAGTTTTGTTCAGGATACTTTTCAGTATACAGCTTGTTTTATATATTATCTGAATCACAGTGATCAAAAGTGCAGCACTTGAAAGTTGCAAATCATCTCTACCAATTTGAAATACTAAAAGGACATAACAAGGTCTTTGAGTTCCCAAACTTGGTGTAAGAGTCAAATCCAAGAATTTTTGATCGGGACTCATTATTGTTTATTCCTATTGTCGTATCATACATGTTATTGGTAATCGAATTTTATCTTTTATTTGGCGATCTAATTAAATCTTATGCTCATCAAATAGCTTATACGCCGCCATTCTCTTCAAACTTCAACGGTGATACCTAAAACTGTTGGAGATGCAACAGGATGGTCAGATTCTCATTAGGAGTAACTGGTAATTATCAACCAATGATTCACAAAATGATTTACCCGTTTATCCAAACTGTGCCGATAAGCTCGCTTTCTATACTACAGCCGTTCATTTTGTTTTGTTAGGACGCTACGATGGGGGTGAGACTGTAACTAATGCATTTTGTACCTCAAATTGGCAGCTTGGTTTTTGTGGTTTTGTCAGGAATGTGACATGCTCACGTCGACTGTTATACCAAACTACCAGCGAAATTTGGCCTTGGATATCACGGTGCCGCTGTGGGAGGCGTCGCACACTGTGGTGTACAGAAAGGCACAAATACAACCGGACATTACTGGCTTCTTGAAGCCTTTCTCAGGAGTGGTGAGGAGCATATAGCAATCCTGCATTCATATGATTTTTCGTGTTTTTGACAGTAATTTAATGTTACCAAATTAACTTAACTGCCAATGTTGTTAAATGATTTTCAGTGGCAACGTTGAAGGAGAATCACGCTTGAAATTTTCATCATAAATTTAGTCTCGAAGGTTTATAACGGCTCGAATTAATAGGAAATAAATTACTAATTCAGAATGCCGGTCTGTCTCGTGTTGCGTTTTATTATGCAACTTAAACATTTCATGTCTACTCAACAGACTTGGCTTTGCGTTCTAGCAACGTTCGCTGCTTGTGTCGCCAGCCTCTTCTTGATGCTCAAGATGCGTGAGCTTCTATCAAGGAAGTCCCGATCAAAGTATGACTCATCTTTTTATAAATAACATGTATATATTGATTATATTTCTTTACATTTTTCTTAAAACTGCTCGACCAATTAACCAACGTTTATTCACTTTCACCAGATGAACATTTTAGATATAAATGATGTATTATCGATAAAAATTACATTACGGCCCTTCTATGAATGCTCGTCTTAACATATACTAGTATCTCCACAGCCATGATAAGCAAGGATCGTTGACGGGCGCCGTTCCAATCTCCGTCATCACAGTGGTCAAGATTTTCCTCAACCAAAGTGAGTGAGAGCTACAAAATTCAGCGTCTAGTACCTGTAAATAGTAGAAAGATTTTGCATGAGACACTAATGATAATAAAACGATGTTTTGAAATGAACAACGCGTCCCATGTTAAGACCATAATTAAACAATCAATCTATAACTTAAACTGAATCATACGCCATGTGCAGCCTGTGAGAGGGAAAAACGCTTCTCCTTCATGCGGATGGCGATGGGCTCAACGATTCTGGGGGGCTTCCTGCTAAGCGCCTTCTACAAAGCCTTCCTCCTGTCCATGCTCGTCCTCCCCAGAGTGGTCGAACCCTTCAACTCACTCGAAGACCTTGTCACCAGGAAACCAATGCCGTATTTGCTCATACCGGGGTCTTTAATAGAGGCTGCGGCAAAGGTGTGATATAATAAAGTTAACTGTAGAATAATATATGTGAGCAATGTTCTGCAAAACATATCGAGATATGCTACTTCATTTGCTTCTAAGTAATACAAATTACTGCCTTCCGATTTAAAATCCAGGTCATGACGTAGGTGAAGATGAATATCGAATGTTTGAATCGTTGCCAGACCTCAATATTACCGCGAAAAATTCTTAAGGAGTAAGTAGTGGATTTTGAACTTCGACAATAAAGCACCTAATCGTATGCTAATCATTACGCGGTAATGCGTAATAACAACCCGCCACGTACCAAATACATCATTCAAATCTTCCAGTCTTCGTCGCGTTGCAGTCTACATATCTAGCCGCGTCAGACCTTTTCTGTCCGGCTAGGCAGAAGGCAGACAGTCCAAGCGTTGGAGTGATAAATGAGTGTATAAAAGATAAATTGGGAAAAGGCCAGATCCTGAACGCGATAGGTCTAATAGTCTAAGACACAGGTCATGGTAGCACATACTTCTACTGCCCGTAAAAGCCCGTTCACACTAGGGGCAACACACGGGCGTCAAGCGCCTCACCGCCACTCTGTGAGGCGTCTACATGCGCTTCTTGTGGGCAACGACGCGATTGACGTGCAAGCGATTCCGTCGCCCCGCCTCATACAACACAAGCGATGCACGCAGTACTCAGTCAGACTAGTGTCAGTACTCACTACTCAGTACTCAGTAGACGGCTGTCGGTGGTCTAGTGAGGTTGTATGTATACGCTTAGTCTTTCACTATGTCAACTGGAGCCACACTTGTTTGGATTCGCTCTCTAGTAGAGAGGCTAATTGATCTTTGCATAGACCATGAATGCCTATAGAGAGTTCAGTCGAAGGAGTATGAAAGTCGAAATGCAAAAGAACAAGCTCTGGTGAAAATAGTTGAGGTTTTAAGAAACTTTTGTGCACAAGTCACTATTGAAGAGGTTCGCAAGAAAATTCGTAAGTTGCGTTCGCAATTCCATCGTGAAATGAATTTCATTGCAAATGAATTCCATTTCATTTGAATTTCATCTCAATTCCATCATCCTGCTTCTGGATGAGTGGCATTATTTTTTTAGCTGACTGTCAAACAAGTCCACTGCAATCTAGTATAATTTTGAAAGTCTGATGCATTCCCAACTGATAATTCTTTGAAAATGCAATTGTGTGAGCGCCCTCTCTTCTTTGCAACCATTTTTTCACCCAAATAAGGTGACGCCTATATCTTTTCTTAACAGCAGCACACCCGAGAACAATGGCCCAGAGCTCAAATTCGGATAGATCCATCCTCACGGACTTCTACTGGCAACTAGTCTTCATAGCGCGCGGTCTCGAGCTACCGCGTACAAAATTAAGTATGAACGGTTGTGGGCGGTTTTGCGCTGCAGCAAGCACCTCACCGCCCATGTCGTTGCTATTAGTGTAAACGGGCCTTAAGACACAACTAATCCTCATCCCTCAGACCCTAATCTCTATTCTCTACACGTAATCGCCTAGCGCAATAACGTCGAAACACCATAACAGTGAATGCTTCCGGCCAGTAACGGGCGCACGGCCGTGCACGACAATTTTGAGCGCCAATCAGCCCCGATTGGAACGCCTTGCATCTTACCTTAAAGCCGCCAGTGAGCCGTGGATAGAACCATGTGAGCCAATAACCAACCCATGACATAATTTTTTCTATATATTTTGTGCGTTATACCGCCAAAACAGCAGCGCATATATTAGAGTGTAATTACTCGTCACCACTAAACGTGGTGGAGGTGGTGCGGTTCCTCTTGGAAAGTGAGGAAATAGCAGGAGATGATATAGAGTGGCCAGATTGGAAAAGAAAAATGGAAATGACAGTAGGAGATGAAAATGAGCGCTAATTAAGTTAGTTTAGGTTTGTGGGGTTGGGTACAGATCGATTGGGATATGATCGAACCATTAGGGCTTTGAATTATGTCTGTGGGGGAGTAAAGAATGGATTGCGGTTCAATAGCTGTAAATCCGATAAAAAATTATATTACCTTTCTAAATACATGCGTTCAGCTTTCCTTTACTTTTTGGTTAAGTATTCTTTGTATTTTATTTTCAAATGCAAGGATGATTTAATGGTAATATTGACGGTGGTGGGGTAAGGATGAGGGTGGCAAGTTGTGGGAAAGGTTGGCATTAGAGTTGTTGGTGTTGTGGGAGAGCTTCCAACTTATATAAGCTATTCTTGACCTGTTGGACGCGATAATTTATTTATTAATAATTATAAGATTTATTTTCGCACTAGCACAACCTAATGTTGCAGAAATAAACCTTATAACAAATTCATGAATATTTGCGACTGTTCAGGAGTTCCTCCTTCAAAATTACTTTCCATGCTCGAGCCGGTGAATGTTCGACATTTACAACGGAACCGGGAGAATGTACGTCGTCTGAACTCCCTTCCTCGATACTTATTGCCAGTTTTGGGGTAGAGGTGGGACACCTTGTGTGGGCATTTTGAAGCTTTAGAATAGACGGTGCTGCCTTGCAATGGCGTAGGGAGAGAATATGAGATTATTGAAGAGCTGGGGACCGTTTGAAGCTTCGTAGATGGAGGAGTGGGAATCAATGGATCATGTTTGTCCGCGCGGCAATGGGCAGTGTTGGTCTAAGGCAGTGGTTCCAAAACTTTTTCAGGCTGGCGCTCCCTTCGGCTCCTCAGTGAATCCCTAGTGCCCCCCCCCGACAGACAAATATAAAAACAAATGCCTCTTTCTTGATATTTAGTACGCTGCAATTTTAAAAGAGAAAGGTTAAACACAAATGTGTATTTCACAAATAGAACCCAATTTAGTAAACAATATATATTCTTACGGTTTTAACTGTTTCAGCACTAGAAATTCAAGACGGCTCAGACAAATTTACGGCCGGACTCATGGCCGGTCTCGCAGCCGGTCTCACGGTCACTCTCCAAATTCAGTGACCAAGATATATCTCGCAAACTAATGAACGCAGCTCGATAAAACATGGAACATGTATTTATCATAGGACCCAACGGTGATGTTTAGCTTGTGAAAAATTTTTAAATTTCACCTCCATTCGGGAGTTATATGACGATATGGGCCGAAATTCGCAGTGATCAAAGAATTTCTTCCAAACTACTGATTAGATTTGAACGAAATTTTTAATATAAATTCCTAACTACTAAACGGTGATTTTTAGCCAGTGAAAATTTATTCGAGTCGGAGTCATGTTCTGCATGTGTTGTGAACAAATCGTCAAACAAACGTACAAACTTCTGACTGCGAATTCGCGGACTGCCGCCCCCTACTGCCTTCTTCCTCACCGCCCCCCCCCCCAGATCTTTCCATCGCCCACTTTGGGAACCACTGGTCTAAGGCATGCAAGCAACTCTTCCTTACGGAGTGCGGAACCTATTTTACGAAACACTATACGAATTTCTCTGTATAATATCATTAATATTGAATCGGGAAATTGATTGCAAACGGATGCTTGTCGCTGCAATACTAAAGAGGTGTGATGTTCAGCCTTTAAAATTCCTTTAGTAATAAATCATGTGCCTATGGTGGGCTGCTAGAGCCAACTCAGCCCCACTGCCGAGTTTTTTTTCAGTAAATGGTACTCGGTGAGTGTAATGATGTGCTGCAATTGCGGCACATCAGAGCAGATGTGCAGTCATGGCTTTCGCCGTAGCTGGGCTAGCTGGCTTGCACCGTAGCTGACATTTCTGCCATGCCGCGCCGGCCAGTAGCGTTGGCACTCTTGTCTGGGGATGCAGCCGTAGGCCACAAATTTTACTCTTTAATAAGCCGTGAAGCTAACGTCCAGCCTCACCATGAATTAACTTTAGTAGGCCTTAGAGCTAGAAGCCACAGACTACGATTGAACTTCGTAATCCAGACCAGCGACGCACTGCCGAAAGAGAATAGCGCTGTGGGTCTTCAGCCAATGCTTATGCATGCTCGCTTATAAGCAGGCAGTTCCTCAACCGGCTGTACCTACTCCGGCCTAACCTATTCACGCTGTCCCGGCTCACAATCTTCCCGCAGCCAATGACTGGCTCTACCAGCACACTTGGACCGCCTTTCTAACTTCCTGCAGCCAATAAGGTTAGGTTAGGTTCACTTAGGTTTGTTTTTGGCGGAGAAATGTTGTCGGGGCCCATTCGATTAATAAATGATATATAAATAAAGCCGTCAGTGGCCCCAGACATTCACTTATGATCGTGTTGTAATATCTATTGCCATTTAGAAGGATGAATGAAAAGTGAATCAATAAACAAAAAATAATTTACACCACTTATCAAAGCATACAAAAGCAATAAATAAACAAAACAAAACCGTGCGCTTTCATTAGGCCGACTAACTATTTTCAATAATGATCGAAGCAAGTTCTTATATCAGAGCCTTTCTGCACATACAAAAACGAAAACACAAAATTAGAATTAATGAAATAACTAAACTAATAAACACAGAAATATAGTACGCATGACATATGATACATGAATAAATATAACTACAAATATGCACTAAAAGATCAATAAAAACTTCACTTGAACACTAGGGCGCTATCAACACTGAAAATAAACACGACTAAAAGAACGTACCTCCGTGGTGGAATTGCACATATGAATGACAAGGTACACCAGGTTCCTACGCGAGGTCACGTCAGTGGTGACTAAAAACCTAAAAGAGAAATTAATAATATAATATTTACATGGCCATTACGTCGCCTTACAATGTTGCAACTTGAGTAGGTTAGGCCTGAAGAGACTAGGTCGGATGAGGTTTGGTGAAATGCAGTATGGCCATGCTTGCCTTTAGCAAGCTCAAGTTGTGGCTGTGGACATACGGCGCTAGGGCTCTGAGCATTTGACTTCATAGGCTGATATGCCTTCCAGCGTTTTTACCTACGGAAATTAAAATGAACTAAATGTGAAGTTCGGCCAAGCTGGCCTTCGGCATGCGCCCTCTGTCGTAGGCTGGCTAGCCAGCTGTGCCCTCCACTTCCGGCGTTTATGTGTCGTGGGGCGCTTGCCAGAGGCAAGCTTTGCCAAGCTTCACACTTAGTTCATATTTCTTTCCGTAGGTAAGAACGCTAGAGGCTAAAACAGCCTATGAAGTCCAAGTGCTCAAAGCCATAGCGCCGGATGTCCACAGCCACAAAATAAGCTTGCTAAAGGTAAGCATGGCCATACTTCATCTGGCCAAACCTCTTCCAGCCTAACCTCTTTAGGTCTAACCTACACAAGTTGCAACATATCTTCACCCAAAACAAACATGAGCGGACCTAACCTAGCCTCATTGGCTGTGGGAAATTAAAAAGGCGGTCCAAGTATTTTGGCAGAGCCAGTCATTGGCTGCTAGAAGCTTGTGAGCAGGGACAGCGTGAATATGACATAGGTTAGGCCAGAAGAGGTTAGGCCGGAGTAGGTACAGCCGGATGAGGAACTGCCTGCCGATGAGCGAGCATGATTAATTAAGCATTGGCTGAAAACCTACGGCGCTATTGTCTTTCGGCAGTGTGTCGTTTGTCTAGATTACGGAGTTCAAACGTAGTCTGCGGGCATTGGCTCCAGGGCTTATTTAAGAGGAAAATTTGTGGCTTGCGGCTGCGCCCCCATGACGCTTAGGCCCCTTTCACACAGGGCAGTAGATACTGCCGCGTCAAAAATGCCGCGGCAGTATTTACTGCGCAATCTTTCACACGAGGCGCTTTTTACTGCTGGGATCTATCAGTCTTGCAGTGCTTTATGCTTCATCAGTCCATCTCTATGTTTATGCAACAATATTTCTTTATGAAAATATATCTCTATGTGAGAATGATGTAAATACATCTCTATGGAAATACCTATATATTTTATGGAAAATATATCTTTTATAAAATATATCTCTATCACTTCAAGGAAATATATATTTAACAAAGTATATCTTTATGTTTATGTAACAATATTTATGTACCGATATTTAGGTTACAATATCAGTCTATAATCTATCAGTCTAGCAGTGCTGTTTATTATGCACCTAAAATACGGCCCCTGCATAATAAACAGCACTGCTAGACTGATAGATTATAGACTGATATTGTAACATAAATATCGGTACATAAATATTGTTACATAAACATAAAGATATACATTGTTAAATATATATTTCCTTGAAGTGATAGAGATATATTTTATAAAAGATATGTTTTCCATAAAATATATAGGTATTTCCATAGAGATGTATTTACATCATTCTCACATAGAGATATACAGTATTTTCATAAAGAAATATTGTTACATAAACATAGAGATGGACTGATGAAGCATAAAGCACTGCAAGACTGATAGATCCCAGCAGTAAAAAGCGCCTCGTGTGAAAGATTGCGCAGTAAATACTGCCGCGGCATTTTTGACGCGGCAGTATCTACTGCCCTGTGTGAAAGGGGCCTTAGTCGCCGGTCAGCCGTTTGGTGACTAGCAGGAGGGCATGCAGCTTAGCGGCGAATCCTAACGGCTAAGATGCAGTGCCATCAAAACGCCAGCAAACGGCGCTGTTCCGTTTGGAAATATCGAGCCACTACGGCGGCTCGATATTTGGGGTTGTTTTAACTTAGGCTGTTCTGGAATTTTCGAAAAAAAATCGTTTAAATATGAATTACGGAAGCTCGGCTACTCCTAAATCTATAAATGAATTAAACATGGGCTGATGGGGTGCAGTACAAAAATACATGAGCTAATTACATTAATCGGAGTATTCGGTTGCGCCGCTGTTACTTGCTACACGGTAAAATCCAGTTTCAAGCAACATTTCAGCCGAAGTACAACTGTTCTCTGCCGATAATCATATACGCAATAATTACCGCCCGAAAAACAGGAATAGTTTTAGACTTTGTCGGGCCTGTCAGCTGCCGCATCAGCTGAGGCACCGCATATAGGCCTATAGTCATCGTTCTTTAGCCGATTGCGTTGTTTAACTGTTGATTCTATAACCACGAATTTGGAAAGGGCACTTGTAGTCGTTTAAGTTCAATAACTTTATTCACGAAGTAGGTTAATACAATTAATCACAAATCGATACAACGGAAGTTCATTTAGGACTATAGCTTATATTAAATAGTTCGGACACTTGACACGTAAAAGGCTAGCGTATCAGGATGCTGTAGTAATCTCTGTATTCGGGGCCACGTGTCTCTTCCAACTGACTCTCCGGCTATCCTCCCAACAACCAACAGTTTCCGTTTTCTAATTTTACAACACAAAACAAGTCCAGACATATAAGCTTAATTAAGCATGTGGAAATTGCTTTTTCCAACATCATTTGAAGCTATATGTATACATCATCAAATGAAGACATTATCATTTTATAGACATCATTTGACATCATCTGAAGTTAAGTGTAAGGAACTATTTCCTCAATGATGCTGGTTAATGAAACCCAATCATCTTTGCATACTTTTTACAAGATGCATGTATTGAAAAACTTGAAGGTACCTTTTAGCGTTATTGTCATTAAATATTTATGAGGATTGGCACCAAACAAAAATGTAATTTTATTCCATCAGGAAGCAGAACCTAATACTACTTTCGGGAAGCTGTATCGAAACGTTGATGGATGGGAGAAAGATTTTCTTCGCATGATCGAGAAAGTAGCTTATGGGAAGTGGGCGATTGTTGGCGCCAAAGAAGGTCTGCATGCTGCAAGGGAGGTCATTTTTGCCAAGGTGAATGTTCTAACTAAAGGAATGTTTCCTCGTGAATTTCGAAATTAACTTCAATATTTGCAAAATAGGTTATAGATATTCATGAAATAAAACTGTTAAATGCACACAGGCCCTAAAGCAAAAATAGGGTCTAGATGAAAAAATTTATCTCTCATTTATTAATATAACTATAGATACCGATTTTAACTACAGCTGATCCCAATGATATAATTTACACTCATGTCTACAGACGCGGACGTGTCCATTGACTAATAAAGACAGGTTTCTCTCCTCGTGGTACTCGCTGTGTTTTCGCAAGAATTCTCCCTACACGGCTCCATTCAACCAAATGTAAATATTTAAACTCGATTACAAGCGACACGGATACAAATAAAACCCCATTGAAAACTTTGCAATGAAACGGCTGAATAATTGTTGACCTGAGCAGAAACAATGAGATAGATAAATCTTGAGATGAAATATTTTTTGTTGAATTCACCTAGCGAAAAGTCATGAGACGAGTAATTTTTTGTGTTAATTATTTCACCTTACAGAGCTGTACGGCTGAAGGAGAGCGGTATTCTGGATATGCTGGATAAAAAGTACAGACCGAACGAAATAAAATGCTCGGTTGCAAAAGACGTGCTATCACTGCGACCGCTCGGGATCACAGATTTATTTGGTGTCTTCCTACTCTACGCAGGCGGTGAGTATACGAGTACTCTAAAAATGAACTAGTATACAAGGCCCCATGCTAGAAAGTACTTGATGTGCATTGTTGTTTATGACGGTGAGATTCCAACACATTCACTAAAAGACACAGCGATATTTCTATCAACAAGTTGACGCGGTGGCAATGCATGCATCATAGTAAGTATTACGCCCATTTATTTAGTTTAAATCGGGTATACGTATATACGTATAATATATACATTATAATGCAGACAATGTGTTGAAACTTCAGCAAGATTTATTATTTGAATGCTTCGTTTTTATTGTTGCAACTTACCTGAAAAAATTTTTTCCAGTCTGCCATGTGTAAGGAGAGATTCAAGATTTCATGGTCATATTCTGGATTTATATTTAATTTTTCTGTTGACAAATTGAAGACAGCGCAATCAAATAAGAAACAAATAATTGCTCTCGAGTTAAACGATTTCATGGCTATGTACAAGTCAACATAGTTTGCATGAACTGATGTGAACTTTCCGTCTCATGCAACTTAATTTTCATTACGTTATTATTTATTCATTCGTCTTTACTTTTGGGCTTTCGGCAGGCATGGGCTTAGCTACAATTTCGTTCATTCTTGAACGTTGGAGCCGTGGTTCGAAGAAAGAACTGAAGTAGCTCCTCTACGTGATGAAGTCCTCTACGTGAAGATAACAAGACTCCGGACAACTCTTACAGACTCACTCCTACTTCAGTACGCAAATTAAGAGACTATTTGAAACGTCAGAGTTCAATAAAGACTCATAGAAATAACATAACGCAAAGGGAAAGATTTCATGTACACCGATGCATTCTATTGGTTAAATTATCCATCAACTAAGAAATTATTTGTAACAATAATACAAGTCATTCTTGTGTAATTTTTTAGGTGAACGCGGCTCATAAGTAATAAAAATTAACTTAAATTTTTTTACGAACGACGTTTAATGTGTACAAAATACAAATATCGCAAAGTGTGATGCCTTTCTCTTAATCGAAACGAGTTTGTATAGTAGAAAGGTTATAACTACATAGGTCCGTAAAAATAGGGATACATAGAAGTTTTCCTAGCACGAAGCATTTATCAAATGATCGCCAAACTCTATGCTAGATCGCATTTAATTTTGCGCAGGTAGTTGTTAAAATGAAGAAGCAGGGCTAGGCGATATGCAGGGGGACTCCATTCCATAACGGTATCAAATCGGAAAGTTACTTTGCATTGCGTCATTCTGCACCATGTCCAGCCAAGGCTTCCCATGAAAATAATTCTTCTGTGCTAAAATTAAATAATATTTTGCTATTTTTTTAGGGCTTTAAGCAGGTTTTAGTTTAATTCAACACAGGGTTTAGCGGTTTATTACAATTTTTTAAACCTACTTTACCATCTTGTGTGGATCAAAAATGTGTAGTTAGCTCTTCAAGTTTGATTGAAGACCAGAGCATACTTTTTATTAACAATATTCTTTTGAACAACAATATATTTTTTTTCAATGAGTCTACCGAAATTTCTTTCTGCTGTCGGGAAATCAAAAAAGCAGGTCCTTAAAAGACATTTTAATGGAATGAGACTTTGCGAATATACAATGGTACTCATTAACAAGCAGGCAAAGGATTTTGCAATACTTGAAATTGAATTTTTGGAAATGACAATAGTACAAACCCAGGGTATTGTAGGTATAGTTTGAAACAGAAACGTAAAATTACTCTGAAAATAATTTCAGTGTCCGGATAAATCCTTTAGTTTGTAAGTTGATAGCTGGTGACTCCCTCTAGATAATAAGGGCCCAGAAATTGCCAGTCTCGAAGCGTCAGGGCACGGCATAACTGGCCTTAGATGAACAGCGGCTGCCAAGTAGATGAACGAGTCCTACAGTCAATCATCCATAATATTATCCAAAGCACAACGGATAACGAAAAAACAATAGAACTTCTGATCTACTACAAAAATAAAACTAAAACCTTGTCGTGAATAATAATTTACTTAAAAAATCTGGATTACTTCAAGAAACTAATGTTGTTAATAAATTTTCATGTAATATATGGAGGTTGTAGAATTCTTCAATACATAAACTACATTGGTCTTACTAGCACGACGTTAAGCCGACGACTCACATGCCAAACGTCGCTGCAATACTATAAAGAGGTGTGATGTTCAGCCTTTAAACTTCCTTTAGTAATAAATCATCAGAGCTGAGGACCCAAGAACCACATGGAGGACGCAAGAACATTTGGAGGACCCAAGGTCCACATCTGGAGGACACGAGAACCACATGCGGGAGGTTCATAACGAGACCATCACCCGAGCGACTTTGGAGGCCTGCACCAGCATAGTTATGACAGGCATCAAACTCAAAACTCAATGGTTTCGTGAAGATTGCCGTTTTCGAACCGCGTGACAACTAACCTGCAAGAACGTATAAGTATTTATAGGATCTTGCTATAAACCGGTTTCTAAATTCCTTTGCTGAAATGAATGCAGTTTGAATTTAGTTTGTTCATTTTTTGCTACATTAAAATTGAATTATTAAATCTTTGGCTTCATCTTCATCTTCTTGGCATGAAGTTAGGCTTCATGCAAGTTTAAGACTTGCAATTTCAAAATAATTTGAATTAAAATGTATTGCTTCAAATTTAGTTATTTTTTATCAAAATCATATTAATCAATTCATTGTATGGTGTTCTTCGCTCTAGAAGTGCGCCTTTTTTCCATGTGACCTGCAAGATCACTCCTCAAACTTCAGTCTTCAATCTTTTTATCAATTTCTACAGCATCAAAACCTTCAACAAAACTTTTTTTCTCTTGCCAACTTACCACCCCTCAAAGTGATTTCCACTGTTTCCCTCCAATTATTCTCCATTCACAAAATGATTCTAACACTGGGCATTTAAACCTCAAATTCGTAGTATTTTTTTGGCACAAATGTTTTATTTTTTATTATTACCCGAACTACTTTACTCGGGCTTATTGGAAGGTTCATAATTTAAATCCATTTCTTCCACCATACACATATTCATGACGCTCCTGAGACTGGACTACTAGCATTATTTTACGTCGTGCATACTTCACGCAGTTCTTTCGACGTGGAACCAACCCGACTTATTTTGGACCAAATGATTAAAGGAGAGTTTTTCACTCAACCTATTATTTTTAAGTTGTTCAATCGGAGTTATTACTCTTCAATTTTTACGTTACGTAACTGTTTGAGAATTTATTATTGTAAGGTTGGTTCCGTATAGTGGTCAGCAAAGGCACGTTGTAAGTTCTCGATCCAGCAATCACGAGTTAACAATAGGAAGAATTACATCACATGGAAAGATTTAACATGACCTATATTATGATTAATCAGACAAAGGCCAAAAAATTTTCTACAAAAGTAGAAAATTTGAGCTGAGTTATCGTCAATTGCACGGAATAACACTGAACTAATAATAATATACGTTTAAAAATTACTTTTTTAACACTAACACTTCTAAAGAATCCAGTGTCTCCGATGTTACACATGTACAATGAATTTCTAGTTTTATTATCAAATATTAAAAAAATTAATTTTTAAATTTTATTCTAAAATAAAAAAAATTTAAATTTTTCAAAATTATTTATTCTGTCAAATGATACATGCATTGTCTCCGAATTTACGAAAGTGTGCAAAATTTCAGATCGATTTGGCAGGTAGAAGTGCGTTATATGCCGATTATAATATTTGTAGCAGACAGACAAACAAACAACAAGAAGTGAAGTTAAAGAGAAGTGTTGTAATTAGATGCTAAAATATCCGCCGCAACAGAAATAAAATAACTGCTAACTTAAGTTTCCCAACTGGCACATCACCGGGTTTGAGACGGAGACATCCGGACACTGAGGGCTGATTGACTTCTCCGTGACTTGCTCCGCCGTAGTTATTGTTTGTTATTCGACGGCCTCGCGGGATCTTCCTGACTCCTTGGATTAGCGCCCCTTTTACTATGGCGAGAGTTGATTGATCTTTCGCGACGCCCTCCCTAACCTAACACATGCAGTCTTCTTAACAGCAGTGGTTCCCAAACTTTTGCAGGCTGGCGCCCCTTTAGCTCCCCAGTGAATTCCTAGCGCTCCTCCCCCCACAGACACACAAAAAAGGCAGATTTTGAATATTTTCAAAATCTACACTAGAAACCCAAGAGAGGTTGAAAAAAACCAGGTCTGGGTGGAAAACCCATCGCTGGGAGCCGTGTGCTGCACGTGTTGTGCGCAAATCGTCAAACAAACATTTGAACTTCTGACTTCGTTTTCGGACTGCCGCCCCCCAAATCTTTCTATCGTCACCATGGGGGCGGTACCGCCCACTTTGGGAACCAATGTTTTACAGCTAACTTCCGTCTCGCTTTCCGGCAAGCATCCTGAGAACAATTTCGCTTTCGTCTCCTTTTGTGCCCAGTACTTCTGTTCTAAACCATTCAGAACTATTACTCAAGGCAATCTATTTCTAAACAGCAAATTATTTTCTTACATATAAGAGAACGGAACTCTTAAACTATGAAGTTATTTACTACTTCGAAACCCAGATTTTCAACTCATATCTGCCAACTAAAAATCCAAATCTACTTAATCTACCAACTACTAAAATGGTTACATTGCTTATTTAGAACCTTACTTTTCATTTCCATGCACTTATTTATAGTTCATATCGTCGAGCACTTCAATCGTCAAGCACATTTGCTTTGAGCGAGCGTATATTTGCTTACCCCCACGAAGAAATAAACCCTTTTTGCGTAAAATTCTCTTCAATCATGCTATGTTCCTCAATAATGTCTTCTTCATGGCCCGAGCAAAAATGTTATATTCAATAACATAATAGCGGTTTCAGCGTTTATTAGCCCGTAAGCCTGTCGCCGATCCTTAGCATCGCAGAAAATTCACAGCTTGTTACTGTCTCGAATTCTCAACTCACTGCCTCAATTTTGCTTTGCCTAACCGCACGGCCTCCTTGCCGAATTCTGACCAGAAACTGGCACACAGAGCTGGGAAAAAGCCCGCACCTTTCTGCTTCATTCCTGGTACTCTGAACTCGAACCACTGGGCAACCCTGCTCCTGCACTGGGCAATCCTGCCCAGTGGAGCAGGGTGGCGAATGAAATGAAAATTCTTTCAAGCCTCTACATTATCGTCGGCCGACCTGAGTTTCACCCTTTCCCTATCAAAATTTTGATTCCTGTCTGCCGCCGGTCCCAGGACGCCCCAAGCTAGCATAGAGTTGTAAATTAGCGGCCCAGTCCTGTGTCCCTAAAATTTTGTACCTTGTAAATTTTTCCCAGTCCTGTGTACCAAAATTTTCGAAATACACACGCGCAAAACATTCTCTAACATTAACCAGTATCAAACATTCGGTCATTAGTCTCATATTCAGCAGTACCAGTTATCTGACATTCATCACTACTTCATTACCAAACATTCTCCATTCAGCAAGTCCAAAAAAATTATCACAATTCACCAGTCAGCACCATTCTCCCACTTCCAATAAGAACCAAACATTTCATCACTTAAACGCCAAAACCAGGCATTTTCACACAATAATCACACATCAAACCAAAAGTTTTCCTATAATATTCACAAGCAAAAGTCAAGTGTATCTACAAGACTCAAATTTAATGCAGGGCTCAATTTTAATTAAATTAATAACAATAGCTCGATTTCACTTCGAATTGAGTTCACAATAACGGAACCGTGCAATTTAGTTACCTACAAATATGCCTTGTAACCCTGTTGGAACGTGTGTCTACAGCAGCAATTAAGCTGTCCGCCGACCAGTTGGTAAGGTTACCAGGCGCCACTTTAACTTGCGCACGCAACGTTAATCGACTTGACGAATCTAAGCTATCGGTTCCATAGTCTACAAAACGATCCTGATGTCTTGTTTGGTGAATCAGAAATTATAACCTCAAGCATAAGAACACGAGCAGCTGAAAAAACACGCTCGTATCAATAAACCCCAAGTTAAAAATGTCAGCAAAAAAATTCAAGCGAAAATCTTAAAGCTCGATGGTGAGCGGATGTACGTATTTTGAACGCTCGATGTACGAGGGCGCGTATGGTGCTGATTTTCTAGCTCTGGGGACCAGGATTTTAGCGCTGCGCCAGTATGTCCAAGAAAGGTAGCGTGTGATTTTGTCCAAATTTGTAGGTGAACGTAAAAACAGAATTGAGTTCTAAAGATAAATTCTAGTAATATTGAGTGATGATTTCGAGCCATATCTACGATACCTTTTGCATGTACTCGTGTCATTTCCAAATTTCAAGCGTTGTAAAACTCTTCCACTTACTTGAGGGTGAATATTGAACATTCTAAACGTCGTATTTCAGTAAAATGTCCTTTGTCAACCTGTTTTGTTTATCTCCCAACACCAGAAAGAAATTTTGCTCGGTCTATTGAAATGAACAGCAAGAATATTGTTAATAACAAGCATGCTCTGGACTTGAATTCAACCTGCATAAATGAAGAACTTCTGCCTAACTACTAGTATCTGCAAAAAATCCTGCACTGTTGAATAACCGCGCAGTGCTGTGTAGTATGATCTAGCAGTGTGAAAAATCGCACAATTTATAAAAATTCAGTTGTGTAGAATAATCGAGCAGTGTAAAATAATGGCAAGGTATAGTAGAAAAGAACCTTATTTTGAATGTGTACGATCTTCTTATAAAAAAGGAGCACAACGAAGTTCTTATTGCTTAAACAATCGCGTTCTCATCAACTGACGTAATGTCCTTTAGTTTTTACGTAGTAATCAGTCATTGCTATACTGATGCATGAACGCATGTTTTTCATCCATGTAAATCGTTCGTTACACTGTCTTTGCGAGACTGGAAAATGACTTTTACTGTATAAAGGTTTGAAATGCAGTCTTGGAATACTTAGCTTTAACGTTTAAGATCTAATACTGTAGCATGAATGTTTATGGTGTAATACTGTAGCGTTAATGCATGCGATTTAATGCTGTGTTTAATGCTGTAAAAAAATTCTGTATCATGAATGCATATGATGCAATACTGTAGCATGAATGTATGTGATGAAATACTGTAGCGTGAATGCATGTGATGTAATACTGTAGCGTGAATGCATGTAGTGTGATACTGCAACGAAAATGCAAGTGAATTGATACTGTAGCGTGAATGCATGTGATGTAATACTGCGGCATGAAAGCGGCGTAGTGTGACACTGGAAGGAGAATGCATGTGATGGCATCAAATATCATGATTTACAGTCTTGCTGCTGAGTTGGCACGAGTTGGCAACATGGCCGAACCTCGGACGTCAAGTCTGAAAATGGGAAAATACGCTTATAACCTGAAATCATCAGCAGAGGAACCCAACGGAAGCTTTGCCTTTAAATCAACGGCTACAAAGACAGATTGCATAAAACGGGAGACGTCAATTTGATCGGCATAAAGATACAGTATATTTTAAAAAATGTAGCTGGGAAGAGAGAGAGAGAGAGTGCATCTGCCCAGTTGGATACGGAATGATGATTAACAACGAAAGTTTATTTGCAAACTGAAAGTTCTATTGTTGAATATTATTCTAGTGTTGAATATTATTATTCTATTATAGTAATGATTATTAAATTTAACAGCAAACATTTATCAAACGTATGTAATCTAGTGAAAAAATATGTTCAACAATTAATAACAAAGTTTTCAGTTTGCACGCTTGCGCCTTTTTCTCCGAATTTATATTTAACTACACTCTTGCGCCATTTAATAATAGCATCTAAATTAATTATTGTATATAACTGCCTCATATATCTTAATGTGGATGGTCCCGCCAGCTCCAAAAGATCGGTATGAATTCTGTCAATTATTTAGTTCAATTGAATATTTTCAAGTTCACTTTTCAACTCTTTCTGCGAGGGCTCACCAACTTCGCTCCCCAAGGTAACCACGGTTCCTAACATCGCCTGAATTTCCAGTTGCACAGCTTTTCAGTATTCACATTCGAGGCAGATGTGAAGATGACGTGGGTCGACAAAAACAAAACTTCAGCGCTGAGCGACGCTTGTTTTTCCTGCATTAGTTCGTACGAAATGAAAAATAAGAGCGACCTCAGGGACCTCTGGGGCCATACTTTCAAAATTCGCTAAGTGAACGTAAGTACTTATACGCTCTATTTTCTTGTCTATGATTGGTGGATTTTGCTTGAAAGGCCGTCAATGATTGGCTGATGTGATCACTGGGATGGCGGTGAGAGATCGCTGTGATGGTGGTAAGTGATCACTGTGAAGGTAATTTTCTAAATTCATTATTTACTTGCTCTACTTCTTACTTATCTAGTGTCGTAGCTTCTCATAACTTGTGTCAAACTCTTCTCCGAACTCATTTCATATTCTTTAGTTTTTCAATTTTCATTCAATCTTCATTGTCCTCGTTTTGAACTTTCTCATTATTGTACTTCGGTTCCGGTTAAACCAATAATATTTTACTATACGAAGCAAAGCTAGGTAATTAAAATCAAATTAAATTCATAGTAACGCTTTTATTGCACCATTATGTTCGACACTAATATTTCTAAAGTTTTTAACTACTACTAATGAAACGTTAACCCAAGCGAACAGGAGCTGTACTATCAATCAGTTAAGACCTCGTAACAACCGATTTCTCGTATGTGATTGGTTGGTTTTGCTTGAAAAATCATCAGTGATTGTCTGACGGAGTTACGCACTCGTGACTATTTTTGATAGTTCAGCCCCTGGTCAGGCTAGAATACGTTTCCTTGTACCCCGAGAACTGCGTCGTGGAGTTCAGCATCGCGAAGCAGGACCTCGGCTCGCGCTCCACGTACCTATACTTCTATACCTATATTTCTATACTTTCTATACTAGTATACTTTCAAAAAAAAGTTAAGAGATCGTAAGTTCATCAGCCAATCATTGAGGTCTTTCAAGCAAAATCCACCAATCATAGACAATAAAATAGGGCGTAAGTACTTACGTTCACTTAGCGAGTTTTGAAAGTATGGCCCCTGCTGCTGCACAGGCTGCACGACTTCTGCCTCAGCAACTGCACGGAGAACGACTTCCTCATCATCGGGCTGAGTCGGTCGCGGACATGACGAAAAAATGCTTTAAGAGACATTTCAAGTAATTCATACTAACAAATAAGATTTGATTGTAAGATTGTTTCATACTAACAAATCATTTTCGAATATGTTGTACGTGGAAAAAGCTTTATATTGTGGTTTCAGTCATGTTGGTCTGTCGCCGATTCTGAACCACCTCGCAGACATCGCCCATAAGTTTTCCAGCTTGCTGAGTGTCTGGAACCCTCAACTCACGGCTCTTATCTTGGTGATCTCGACCACTTTGCCATCGCGAGCATTATTTTGACGCGTTTTGGTTCCTCTATCAAAAAATATCATCCCGTTCATTGTTTTTGATGCATGATAATATGTGAACACATGCAGGTGATGAAATTTTAGCCGGAACGGACGTGTTGCTCTACGACAGGGCGGCCACCAACCTAACCATCCGCGTCAACTACCACAAGGCGCAAGTGGTCTTTTAGGCTTCTAGGGATCTATAAGCGACTACCATGAACAGCTCACCACGGGATTCTCAATCAACTGTGTTTGTGTGTTCGGTGCCACTAGGAAAGAATGGAAAAGAACAAGAGGTGGCACAGAGTGGCCTAGAAAGATGAAGGAGAAATGGAAAAGACAGTAGGAGATGAAAGGCGCTAGATTGCGCATAAACAGGTTGGTTGTAGGTGGTTGGGGGTTATTGGGGTTGGGGAAGGGGTGGGAACCCGCCGGGGCTTTGGATGCTTCTGAGGAAAGTAGGTGATGAGGGGTTGGTGGTTCTCTATTTATATATATATATACATGCATTTTCGTTTTTTTATATATATTTATTTATACAGGGTGTTTCAGAATTAAGTAACCCTTTTAATTTGTTAATAAATAAAAAACTAAGAACGTTATGAAGTTGAAACTTGTTTTATTTAAATTGCTGTCGGTCGCCAATATGGCGAGGCACCAGAGGGCGTGCCTGGTGTGGGACCCTGGGGGGGGGCAAGTCCCTGACGGGGATCGACGGCCCGGAAACGGAAACGGAAACGGCTCGAGACTCAGAGGAGGGTAGAGAGTTCGTTCTTTGGTTTCGGTCACGTCTTTACTGTACGTCACTCTCGGTGAGTAACGTCAGTGCGATGGTGTCATGAATGATTAGTGTTGTGCTGTTTTGGGACCAGCTACACCCAACCGTGATTAGAACAACTCCGTCCGGGTGCAGCATGGTCCGCTGTGTAGTTATTTGTGCAGAGGTGGAGGTGGGGGACCTAGTGCGAGTATTTTTGAGCTATAAATTAAACGGTGCTACCGGAGTGAGTTATAAATGAATTTAGGAACTGTAAATTAATTAAAGAATTCTCTCTATGAAGTCAGGTGAACTCAGGCCAGTCAGGTGAAGGAGGTCCCTTACGGCTGTAATTCTCACTCTCCGAGAACATAACTTTCAAGTTAAATTCTACGTAGACTATTGAGTGTAGTAACCTGAAGACGTTTGTACGCAGCAGAGATCATTTTAAAGTTGTACGTGGCGGCAACCATCAGTGCAAGTCATTATGCGCTCACTAGAACGTATCCTTTTTGGGAAGTAGGCTTGTGACAATATTACTCCAGTTACTCATGTCAGGGCTAAGACCGAATTAGCGCGCCCCTCTAAGTCGGCTGTGCGTATTCACGCCGAGCAGTGTGATGTTTCTCTACCTGAAATTGACTTCAAGATTTTAGCTTCCACTTCGATGCTTCTGAATTGAGTATTTTAGAATTAATGCATATTGTGAAACAGAAGCTTAATTAGTTCTTGTCCACTTAAAATACTTAATTTGTGCAGCTATAAATTTTAACTTCTGTGTGTTTTTTATATTTAGACTGCTAACTACTTATTGTATTCGCGTTCTAGAATTTTCAAACTGACGATGAAGCTGGACTCCGAAATGTTTTCTATAAAGATGTGATGAACTTGCGCGAATGTTTCTTTGCTATAAATTTCTAGTGAAACGGATGTGAATAAGGTGAGCGATACATGTTCGTCCAGGGGTAATTTCGCCCCAGTTTGGGAACCTCTGTATTAGAGGGCCAACATATATGGACATTTGCTGCCATCATATATTACCTGATTACATGGCTATCGGATGCTTTTGTTGATTAAGTTTGACTACGTTGAGCGAGATATACAAAAATTAGAAATAAAAATTGAATAACAATAAATCGGGTAAATCACTTCAATTAGAAAGAATATTCTCTACGGCAAGCTAAAATAATCTAGAGGCTGAACATATCGGCTCTTCCTCTAGTCTATGCCATGCCATCAGCACAACTATGATCCCATTTCCCGTTTGCCGGATGGGACGCAGAAGGGGTTAAAGTTTATATTCTCGAGTACCAGTGATTTTAAAGGCACTGAAAATGAAACCCTAAGTTTAGGTTAATGAAGACGTCAAGTAATTTCAGAAATATCTTTATTGAAAACGTTTTGGAGACCAGCTCGATCACGAGTTAAAACTTTTGAAGAATATAAGTAAAAATTAACTGAGAAACGCCAAATTTATACGAAGGTGATTAAGTGGCAAGTGCCGACAAAATGGAATGAGGAGGATACAAATCTATTAATTGACATTTTCAAGTCTAAAAGAACTGTAAGCTTTTCTAAGACAAGGTCTCCGTCAAATAATATACAGGGATTATAAATTTATTGTCTCCGATGCGGCAGAGGTAGAGCTTATAGGGTCATGAAATCGCTCTCCGACACAGTAACGTCGCACTGTTCAACTTCGGATTTAATAATTTTAGAATTCCTGAACGGAATTCTTGAACGGAAACCCCGTTTTAATAGCGCTTACAGTTCTTGTCTATACGAAATTGTAAAGTAGATAGATTTTACGTTCCCTATTATGTTTTTTCGGCACTCAGATTTTATTATGTTTCGCGCGAATTTGTTTTTTCTATATTAGTTGTACAGCATTCATGAAAGTTTTAAACCGCTGATGGAGCTGGTTTTTGACAAGTGTACCATGGTTATGTGGTGAATTTGCTTGGCGCTTTATTATCTTTTAAACTCTCAACAACATATATCAAGCAGACTTAAGATTCAAGGGCTCAAACGCAGAGGCATGTCAATATCGTTCATCTATTTGCAGAAGACGTTTTTAAATCATTAATGGTGTGCTTGAAGATGGATTGGCATTGGAAATGATATTGTTTTAAACAACTCTTCAACCTCAGGGGCAATGATTACAGGGCATAATAAAATGAAACACTTTTTTATAAGTCTGCTATATAACGTATGCAGGGTCCTTGTAATACAAGAAGTTTTCTTTGCATCCGCATTCGCTTTCAGTCGCACTACTAATGATTGAAAAGTGCTTCGATGGCCAAAAAATTGAGCGCTGACATTTCAGCTACTGACACGATTCTTTGTGTGCCAAAATGTAAGTGCTCGAAAGGATACACAGTATAGGTCCGTTTGGCATTCGCGCGAGTCTTGACCAAATCTCAGTATCAAGGGAAAGGCGATTCATATATGTGCTTCTCATTGGAGATATTGATTTAAAAGAAAACAGTCTTGCTGGAGATATCCACACAATGTAAGTAATTATAAAAAGATTCACTCATCAGAAATCGAAGGAAACACGGCCTGACGAGGCTTGTCAGCTCTCGTCTTACTGCATCCGCTTCAACATTGGTCCTACTGGCAACTAACTTGATATATTGCCATATTGACGGGATATCAAATGCCTTACACAAGCCCCTCATAAACAAATTGGTGTTCAAAATTAATCAAGATCAAAATAACAATACTCGCTCTTAGCAGTTTTTACGTCGAAGTGAAGATAAACGGACAGTACTCCGTCAATACACTGATTATATTTATGGGATATACCTGCAAAAAAACAGTAGCACCACAACGGGAAATCCAATGAAACACCGAACAATACAAAATCTTACAATAGCACGATCGAAATGCATTCGCAATGTAAATATATCTACCTTCCTAGTGTAGAATGAGAATTTTGGGCGTGGAATGTCATCATGAATCAGATGAAGTATGCACTACCTATATAACCCATAGAATTAATAGAGGCATTGGTGTGTAAAACTAAAGGCTATCTTTTGAACTGGTATGTTCAGAAGAGGCACTGAAGTAATTAAGTGCAACATTTATGTGTTCGAAACGGTTCTGCTTCATTTGACCGTGGCAGAGATTATTTTTCATCTTTTCTAAACAAATCTGAAGGATGTTAAGTGAAATTGCAAGTGTCTTTAATGAATCGACTATAGTATGAAATCGTTCCGATGAAGGATGTGAGCTATATCTCCGTCTTCGATGCGGTCTTGTTAATTCTGGCTCCATCTTGCTCCCATACGGTCGGAGCTCACCTTCACCTATATAGCTTATAACCTAATAATTAATTTTATTCACATCAAAACGGCATTTTGACGGTCTTGCTGGCAAATTATGAGCCTTAAGTCTAGAATTTTTTTTCCTTAATTGTAGTATCCTAGCCTTAACTAGAAAACCTAAATAGTCAATACTGCATCCACTACCAGGAAACGACAAAACTCATAAGGATCAACATTGCGGCCTTACCCAGGAAGCTAACACAACCAACGGCTCTTCATTTAGCAAACACTGAAGCCCCTAGCAATAGGCGGAAAGCGTAAGTGAACTTCATGATATAAGTGAAATAGAAGCGGAAAGCGTAAGTAAGTTTATGAAACTTCGCGCGTCAGCTCAGTTTTTGCATCACTCTGCACCGATTATTGCTTGGACTGACGGCTAGAAAGATACTCTTTTCGTGTTTTGAATGTATTTTTCACGAAGATGAAATCTAGAAAATCAGCTCTAAACTTGGTTACATTGTTGTAAGTCCAATAACCTTGTTGTTCCATGTAGCGCCGAAGATCATCTTTGGACCAAACGCCATGTTGGTGCTCCACGGAGAGTGTCTGTATGATACAAGTGAATGTTTCGCATGATGAAATGATAAAAATTGACTGCTCAAAATCACATATTTGGTAAGAGCCGACAATTATTAAAATAATGAACTTCACAACTCGCATAATAAAATACATAGGATATTACTAGCATAAAAGCAATAGCGAAGAATTGTTCGAAGCCAAAACCTACTTTTATGTGAACTTTGTCCCAGGGAATGGTCTTGAGAACCTCCAGCTCAAGGCCTTCGACGTCTAAGCTGAAGTAGTCGACGGTGGTTACGTTGAGAGCCAACAAGAGAGAGAAGAGGGGAAGGCACTGAACTTCGACCACATTTTTTGGTCGCGAGACCTTACCCTCCATATCTCTTCTTATCAGGCCCCCTGTTCCCTTCATCTGAAACATCACCTGGGGGAAGATGGGAGGTCTATGTTAATAAACTGTGTGCCTCTGTGTTGCCGAAAGCAGTTCTAGAGGATGACGGGCAACAATATGAGACCCAAGATCGAAATTTATTCTTCATGTCAACCAGCAAAAGCGGGGAGTTAACTGTGAATGACATGGTAGCAGCCCTGTTGGCACTGTACCAAATATTTTTTTAACGCCTTGTGGGGATGATGGTGACGACGGACCATGAACCGGCTCATCATTTTTGATGTATTGTAAGGGAAATTAACCCTTTTAAGAGTTTTGTTGCGGTTTAATTAATTTTCTGTTAGACGGTATAATGTTACTGGTAAAGTTGGCTTCCGTTTCACGAGTGCTGACGTAGCATCACCGTGCTGAAAGACGCGTTAGGATACCCATTCATTTTTTCGTGGAGACTTGGTCGGAGCGCACCTTCCCCTCGCTGTACTCTAGTGACTGTGTAGCGTCCCTAATAGGTGAGTTGCAGTAGAGATAGTGGATAGGCTAATTCTGAGTGTGTAATTCAGCCTTTGCCTTTGAACTTGCCCAATAAGTGTTAACAAATCCGCCAATTTGAATGTTTTTACTGGTAATTAATAGTGTTGCTGTTTAGCTGTGTAGCTAGACTAGTTCACAACCATTGTTTGGCAGGATCGATTTCTTGCCTGGCAAACAAGTGCGGCTCCTACGTAGGCCGACGACTGCGGAGCTTCTGGGGAAGTGTCCGCCACTTATTTTCAAGTCTCTACCGGGTCCGACACTTATCGTGTGTTCACTCACGGCTGATGCTGTACATCTGCTCGTTGTGCACTTCAGTACTGTTTGCCTCAAGCATGTTGTGTCTTCAGCATATAGCCTTCAGCATATTGTGTTCTTAGTTACGTGTATCATTAGTTGAGAGAGGATCCTCAGTTGTGCGTATCCTGAGTACCGTGTGCATTTTGGCCTGAGTTCTCCGTTCGTGTTATAACTTTTTTATTAGTTAGCTATTCCGTTTGTTACTATTGCTTTTGCTGTCATTGTTCAACAAATACTGGTTTATCCAACTTTCATTTCTCCTTTGTTGAGGTTAGACGGTAGTCGTGAGAGGAATAATCGAATCGAATTGGAGTCATATGGTTTGAATCCTTTGCATATTTATTATGTCTGATGGCTCATTATTTTCGAAAGTTTCGCTTTATTGGTGAATTTATCACTACCGCTTTTTAACATATATGCGTCTGAAAGTAAATTACTATTTAGCTTTCAGGCACTGACGGCGCATAGCAATGCGCCCTCAATTTTTTAATGAATTTTCACCAGTTACCAATGGACTTTTCAACCTTCTCTAAACTCGTGATTCAAAACTAACTTTATAGAGACGACTTATTTAATTCAAGTTTCAATATTTTCCCACACAGCTCTCAACAAGCACTAACATTTATTGCACTTTCGCTTTTTTATTATAAATTATTCTATTCTTTAAATAATGCTTCACTCTGTCTCAGCTGTCTTTTCATATTTCTACCTTCATTTCATGACAATTCTGAATCATGAATGCAAGCAAACTACACATTAACTCTGCACACCATAATCCTTAGGCCACGATTTTTATGTTGCTTTCCCTTTCTATTTCGATATGGATCACAAATGTGTCCAGTAGATACAGTAGATCAGTCATTATCACCGCCTGTGATGACACTTTGCTCCAACAATTATTGTCATTGGGTGAAGTTGCAAGTCTTAAAAGCCTTATGAAATTATGGCGGTTAATGAAGGGGAAAGTGGGGTACAGTGAGACATGCAACACAGTGGGAAATGTCAATTATTTAATATATTAACAGAATATTGAAAAACGGTATAAGGTAGTAATAGCTCACAAGTTAATGCATTGATTGACATAGCGGGGATACATGTTGCCCTGTCCTGCATTCCTGAATGAACAATATTTTGTTTTGAGGTAAGCCAAGTAAATATTTCTATTCGTGCATTAAATGTAAGAGAGTACCAATTTTTTCGAACTAAAGCTTGCATGTGTTTTTGTTTTATGATGCATTCAAAATTAATTGATCAAGATGAATAGCAACTTTGCTAAATAATGTTAATAAGGCGGCTTTAGATTTAGAAGATGGCACTTTGAGGTACCATTGGACAGTTTGGGGCACACTAGGACAGTGTTACGTCCCAGTATCTTCTTATTCTTCAAGCAAAAACCTTCCAAAATAAAAAGATTTGGCCGTTTGCTGCAATAAGTATTCGTTGAACTAGATGCCAGGCTTTCTTCGTCATCATCATCAGGGGAAGAATTCCATATTATACATAATTCATCTAATGCAATAGATGAAGAATTACTGCTATGAAAATGTTAAAAATCTTTAAAATCATTCCAGAGCGATCCAAAGCTCCGTAATATTAAATCCTTGTAGAATTCGATTCCATTCAAAACATATCGTTTAAGCTTATTAACAAAGGCAAAAGACGAAGATGATGAATATGAAACATCCTAATAGGATCATGGAGAAAAGTGGGTAGATTTTGTATATCCTGATGCAGCAGAATTTGTATCTTTTAATATGGGAAATATTAATGTCAGTCTTAGCGACCCTACTAATAGTTCATTTAATGATACTAGGTTAGGTCCATTTAATGATACTAGGTTAGGTCCATTGGACCATTAGTTAGGTACTAATGGTCCATTTAGGTTAGGTCATCAGGCTTTCTTGCAACTGATGCATTGATTATACTCACTGTGCGCAGACCGCGCACACTGTGCTACTGTACATGTCTCGTCGGGCTACTGTTCTCAAAACTAATCTATGGCCATGAGTATGGATTTAGATGGGGATAGGTATGGGTTTAGTAGGGCATGGGTATGAGTGTGGATATGGGCATGAATAGGTATGGTAAAAAAAGTGGGTATGTTTATGAGTGGGTACGGGCATGGATATGAGTGTGGGTATGAATAACTTGGTATGGCTATGGTATGGCTATGAGTGGGTACGGGTATGGGTATGAGTGAGTATGTGTATGAGTGGGTATGCCTACGGGTATGGGTAAAAGTGGGTATCGGTATGAGTATTCTAATAGCTGATATTGATGATTATCCTTAATTTTTGATGATATTGCTACGGATAAGAATCAGAATCCTGCTGATAGTTTTCACACCCCGTTTAAGACACAATAACTGTAGTTCAATTTACTTATCCCAAAATTATCTCATATTGCCAAGACAAACCAATAGAACGAATTCAAATTTATTTATTCTATTCGAGTTACCTTTCATCGATATGAAGAATATTCATAGTGATTACATTGCTTGCGATATTGCCTCTACGGGGTTTCAGGAATTGTGTAATGAAACGTATAAAGTACCATACAATTTTGCGTTGCGCAAAAAAGATGAGCACCCAGATTCTGGAAAGCTTTTTAAAAATTTAAATCAATTGTATATTCCAAAGAAATATCTTCCATCGTAGCTCTCGTTCTAGGTCAAGTTCTGAGTTTTTAGTTACGGCGGTGGTTTGAAAATATTGGGAGTGTTCAGTCAATCTGAGACTGTCTAAGTTTCGATTGGGGATGAATAATCAGATTTTTCTTCGGGGTGAATGGTCGTTAACCTTCTGAGTCGTTTATGCAAAGTCGTAACTGCAGTTACACTCCCTCCTACTTTGTTACTCATGTCAAATCATTAACACGATATTATTTAAAACGTTATTCAACAGAACAACAAGTTCCTAGAGTCAGAGATATTTTCTTGAGAAATGCACTCCCTAGGATGCCTATGTAACACAATGAGGAATCTATGTGTAGAAGAGGGATGGGAACTCATATTAGACATGGGTAACAAAAACAGTTTAAAATGTACATGAATAAAGGCAACCTTTTATGGCCAGCGTATAAAATACAAAAACTGGGTGATGTAATTTAAGAGCACTTAAGCAAGGAAGTATTTGCAAGATTTTAGTACGAAATATTTTATTCTATTCCGTTAGATTTTCACATGAAAGGGTATTAAAATAATTTTGTTCATTTTACTTATAAAATTGTAGGTGTTAATATCTATGCAATTACTTTAAATCTTTCATCAACTTGCAAAAATGGCGAAGAAGAATTAAAGTGTTCCATTGAATATTTCCTTTAGAGTCTATATAAAGTTCAATCTTTTCGAAGTGAACATTCCACCTTCAATTCAATTATCACAACTCTGAGAGCAGTCTAAAGATTTGAATTTTCTAATACGGATTTAGGTTTAAAATTTTCTACACTTATATAATGAATATAAAGTTTCAGAATCTAAGATCAACACAAGAAGCACTAATTCAAGAATTTGACGAGAAAATTAGCAGTTTACTATCAGCATCAGGTGATTAATTTTAAAATTCATTATTGCATATGAAGAAAAACTAATTAAACAATTTGATGAGAAAACACGTAGTCTACAGTTGGACGATAAAGCAAAAAATTCTGAATTACATATTGAAGAAAGTTTGAAATTAATCACTAGACCTGATGAGAAAATTGAGCACAGTTGGCGTTTGAAGGTTCAGTAAATGAAAAGCGTAAAACGGCATAATTAAGAATTAATAATCTGGAGTCACAAATTGACGAAAATTAAATTAAAAAGTTTACATACGATTTTATCGTTAACTAATGATGAGAAATTTAATAACGTAACGGGAGAAAAATCATGGAGTTACGAGTGGAGTCAGTTTCGATAAGCAAAAGTGGAAAAGTTAGTCAATGAAAGAAATGATATTATTGGGACATATCCCATGAACTTTCAGGTGATATTACAGCAAATTAGAATGAAAATAATCAACTTATATCAATGTTACAAAACAAAATTGATAGAAACGTACAACATAAAATAATAAACTAATTTCATAATGATCCTGCAGGTTTTCGAGGCCGAGAAATCCTGCAGGTTTTTTAAATTTTTGTTTATTAAAAAAACAGGCGTTAATATCTTTGGTACAATAATTAATATTACACCCATACCGCAGCTTAGAGGTCCAAAAAATTGTTGAATTGAAAAATCGGAGACTTGCAAATATCTCTTATCCTATTGCGGAAAAAGACGCTGCATGTAAAATTTATGAGCATGACAAAGTTGTGTTTGTCTGAGATGTTCAGGTAAAGGATGCTGAAATGACCAATAAAAAATAAAGGTGGTTAGAGAAGATGTTATGGTTCATGTCAACTCCATTGAGAGAGAAATGCCTTAAGTTAAATCACGAAGTAAAAATAATAAGGGGAAATTAAAAAACAAATGAAAAATTTTGTGTCTTTGGAAGAGAAAGTATCATCAATAGAGAAAATTCAGTTTGAGTCAAAGCCATTTGGAGCGTCATATGAAAATGAGCTAACAGAAGTATTACTGGTTCAAGATCTATCCATAGAACGACTAAGAAAAATTAAATTAATGAGGACTGAACGATTAAATTAATGAGGACTGAACCATAGCGATTTTCAGCAAAACATGAAACTAAGATCAAAAATTAATTTTATTGTATTTGCAATTCTGGTGTTATAAAAATGAGAGCTAGTGTATTGAATGAAATAGTTGATAAACCAAAGATTGACAATTCACTACAGGTAATATATTTACGCTTCGGTTTAGAAAAATAATTCCATCTGGTCAAGCATTATAAACCAAGTAAAGTCCATTATAAACCAAATAAAGTCCATATTTAAATTTATTGAGTGATTTATAATGGAAGCAATTTAAATTTAATTTATTGTTGTTCATTCTCGCGCTTTTGTCATTCGAGGCAGCGTATGAATATAAAATTTGAATAATAAAATTTCTTATGAAATGGAAGACTGTACAATATTGTTAAGGAACGTCATGCAATAATTTCTTTCTTAATAGTAAGGTTACATGAATTTTCATTACGGTTACGGGCTCTTCCGTCACCTCCGGTAGACTCGCTATGTCATTACCGTGCAATCCACCATAGAGGTTAGTACTTGGATTGTTAATCGTGTGTTAATCTTCTGTGTTAATTAATATAGTGGTGGTTTTTATTGGTGATCTTGAATGTAATTATTTATATTAGTGTATTAATTATGTGAGCTATATTCATTCCTTAATGTCAGATTAATACAAGTTCTTAATTTCTATTTATTCGATCGTTTTCAGCGAGTCTTCGATGCTTGATGCCCAACCTATGACACGAGCTGATAAAATTTATTGATCGTTCGTTTATTATTTTAGTTCTTGATTAGCATATTTATTCATCCTTTATTTACAATCATTGGTCAAATGTATTAGGCTGAAAGCTTGATTAGCTATTTAATAAATTGACCCCTATAATATAAATTATGATATTCGACATCTCATCACCAAAATAATTCAATTGAATGATAAAGTGAATATTTTAGAACAAAACATTGAAGGGTATTTCGTAAATAAAACATCAAGAAATGACAAAGTACCTTATAGCTTTAATGTTGAGCAATGTGGTTGAGGTTCTGGATAGCATTTTAAAATTTAAGTCAATTATATTTTCCAAGGAAGTCTTCCAACGTTTTGAAAGGGGCAATTGTAATGCTCGCTCGAGGGTTAAACTGGCGGACATCAACCCGGTTTTCCCAAACTGTGCCGATAAACTCGCTTTCATTACTACTACCACATCAGCGAGTTAACTGGCCTTAAGGGGAGCGTCTACCCTAAAATTTATCACGGCTATTTACAGACAAATCACTTTGAAATTTAGTACACATATGTAAAACAGAAATCTAAGACTTTTTTGTTCGTGTAAATTTTTCGAAAAAAAAGAAAGAAAACGTGAAATTCTTAGAGAACGGCCAAAAAAGAGGGTACCGTAGAAATCCTACTCCTCCTAGGGTTTTAGAGCTACGAAATCGAAACACATATCATTCGATGCGTAAAGACCATATCTATAATTAATCGTGAAAGTTTTTTGAAATTCTCATTTTTGTGGGTGTGGCGGCATTTTTTGTAAATTTTTCGTAAATTTTTCGATTTTCCCCCCCACACCCCCCCTTTTGGCGGAATAAAATCCAAACTATAACGAAATTGGAAAAACGTTTACGATGAATTGTAGATCTTTCTTTTGCAAATCGAACGGTATATGTCTCATTGTTGTAGCTTCAAAACTCTAGGAGGAGATAGGTTTTCCGTGACAATAAGTCAAGTAGACACTATATATAAAGAGCTCACCAGCTAATTAGTTCCTATCTAATTACTTAAAGAACTCCCCCACCCGCCCCCCTTTCATGAAATGTCGTGAAATCATAAATCAACGTAGAGAGATGGCAGTGGTACCGTTGGATAGGGCAGAATGTAAGATTTAAAATTAGTATGAAAACCGAAGAAGTAAAAATTTTCAATTTTAGGGTAGACGCTCCCCTTAAAAATACTGAAAACAATGGGTAACAATTATAAATTTTATAATTGAACCATTTTATGCGTCAAACATCGGAGTGTTGGGATAAAATATTATAACTTACGGAATGAGGAAATGGTTTAATGCTGAGGCAAGCGCCTACAGTCCATGCCTTTCTGTTCATTCGTAGAAGCGCCTTGTAGTTATTTGGGTCGCCTTCAACCAGGAGGCCTCGCCAGCCCAAAGTTCTCTCAAAGTTGAGCGTGTTGGAGAAAGTTTCGCCGTCATACGCCCCACACTCGATGAAGAATCCATTCCGCTATGAAAAAATTAAAGCGTCATTTGCACACATAATTGAGAATGGCTGAAAATATTTAAATATGACGATTAGTTACGCAAAATATATTTCAAAGAATAACAGCGTCATATCTGATGAAAGCATAAACAACAGTTATTCTCAGCGCAGAATATACGAATGCACAAGTCGCCCCAAGTTATTTTCTACATTAACGAACAGCTAATTCTCTGAATCACTATCGTGCGATTTCTTAATAACCCTAAATAAATTTAGAGGCGAGTGCGACTCTGCACTGTGTCGCCTAGGACTCAAGAAGCACTTAAATCAGGCGCACTATGTCCGCGTTGGCTCAGGGTTTGAATGATAGCCTATGGGCAGTTTGTTAGCTTGGTATGACTCGGCTCGGCCAACTTGTATCATATTCTCAAGCGACTATAAAGTCATAAAGGAGATTCCGACCATTAACTGATTTCGATCGGGTGGCCAAGCAGACCCTGAATAACTTCGCACCGAGTGTAGTGACTGTTCGGCCGAAGTTTAGGCGGTCCCTGAATTTTGTTAGGGAAACAACGTTGAACATTTAAACGAGAGAAATATTGAAACTCAATGTAAGAATAATTTTATGACCTTATGGTCATATTGCTTGCAGTCACGTAACTTTTCCAATTAATTAGCGGGTTGGCCAGCATAGTTTGAGACTGATAATTAATCAATGCCTGCAATTTTAGAATCACGAAAGTCTTATTCCAACCTAAATTTAAAGTGGAACTTCATTTTCTCATTTAAAGAAAATGTGTTTCTCTTTATTTTAAATGAAATGAAACATACAATAAACAGTATCACATTTCTGTTTTCTAATCTAAAACTCCTACCGCCAATTTTCAATATATCACGGTTCCATCACTAAAAATAAGTTTAACGAAAAGTATCCTGGAAACGCGTCCGAAGAGCGTTAAATAAATAAATTAAATGAATAAATTTTCAGCGCTTGGCTTCAAAGACTCACAATCTTTGGCACACTTACATATATAAGATAAGCTATAATTTCACAGTCATGTAATGAAGGAATCTACAGTTTTGATTATTTTTTCATTCAAGTGCTAAAGGTTAAAAAATACCTGGTTGCTTGTAATCACACTGAACATATCTAAAAATGCTCGCCCTGAAAGACCTAAATTTTCAATAAGTAACTTGTGTTTCAACCATTACTCTGGAGTTTCTACGAAACCGGCTACATTTTGTGTCAGTTGGTAATAAGAGTGCATGTTATCTGCTACCGTTAAGCATACAAAACAGACTTAAATATACGTATGAACTACACGGAAGTACAGGGAATGTGAACATTGGTGCCACTATCACATATACGTGGTCAGGAATGTAACCATGGCTTTGATTACTCACAATCGGTCCAAGGAGCTTTAGGATTTCTGTTGGCTGATTGAACTGGGAGGGGTCGTCTTTATTATTTTTCATTTTGTATGGTTTGGTCGATGCTGGGTTCAGGTACTGTGTTCGTATTACCTGAATTAAAGAGTGCTAATTTGTACAACCATTAAATTAAAATCTAAGTGAGGTACGCCAGATTCCTTGTATGGGACTATGTGTTGTTGTTCATGCAAATCTCAACTAGATTATTAAGACTTTAATGATATGCAATTATTAAATATAATACTCTGAAAAAATTCCAAGTAATATATTTAAAAAAAAAAATTTTTATTTTGCTCAGGAGTTATTTCGTGCCGCCTATAATGTTCAACGAGTATAATCACAAACTTAGTCATTTATGTGCTTTCACCATGAATTTTACACGTAGAAATGAGCTTAGTGAGTTAGAATTGAAGGCAGATTTATTGATTGCAAATTTCAACCTCAATGAGCTTGGGATCGTCTTGTCTGAGACTGGCGCTCCCTTTCATCACTTCAGCGAAGTCGAAGGCAACGAAATTGCCCCCCAAAGAACATTGGCCATCAGACACCACTGTTGTCAGAAAACAAACAAAAAATTATCATTAATCTACAAGTTATGCACCGATTTTCAATGCGCCTCGTAATTTATGCTAACAACCTGAAAATAAATTGGAATCTCACTTTCAATGTGCCTCGTAATTTATGATCACAAAATGAAAATAAAATAAAATCTTACTTACTGTCGTCAATAGCAGACTTCAATATCACGCCGAAGATGACAGACGCAATGCAGAGCAGGCAGGACCCAAATGATGATTTGTAGCGCGGGGGCTAGCTCTGACGGAAGTAAATGAAAATCTCATGAAGCATCTCATGTTAAAATGACATTTTAGAGCTCAAGGAAGAAGCTCTGGACGATTGTGCCAATCTACGCGACCTTGAAGATTGTTTATGTCATGTATTCATGAATCTCCTTTTGACAAGATCTTTTCAAAACTGTCGCCCGTTTGAAATAGCTACTGGAATTATTTCTGGTCCGCAGGCTGTTAGGCATATCCAGTCTAAATGGGCTTCATAACATTGTCTTGTCTGTTAATAAACGCATTTACACTCGTAGTATCAACGATATTATTAGGGAGGCTGTTCCACATGTTGATGACTCGATGCGAGATGAAATGTTGTCTCATTGATGAGTGGTACCGCAGTTTATTTAGTTTGTAACTATATGGCCCCTGGTGTTGGTTCTTTTTCTCAAATTGTGGAAATTCTTCTGGACCTTGCATTAGCCATGAATGAGTATATACTATTATACTTCAATGAGGTCGCCACGCAGACATCGATGGAAATGCAGCAAGTTTTACTCCGATTAAAGTTAAATTCGACTAAAACGTTTATCTTCTTATTAAAGCTTCTCAGGGGCCTCTTCAGTTTTCTCGTAAACTTCATAGTTTGCATTTTACGAGAACTGGTGGTCGATATTTCAACTAGCCAGTCATATAATTATTGTTCGAAAGGCCTTTCTTTGGTTGATTTCGAGGTTACTCGCGATCGCGTTCATCCCTGCCGTTTCTAATTTAACTGAAAAATTAACAACTACTTGCAAAAAATCTATACATTTGTTAAAGGTGTTATGAAGTGGAGCATTTTTCAATATTTGTCTCAGAGAGGAAATGTGATCTTATTTTCAAATATACAGGTGAATAAGCAGTGCGGAGTGTTAATTTTTAATTTGAGTCACAATTCCACGAAGAAGATATTTTTCAATCGAATGTCGTCCACTTAAAGAGATAATGTCCACAGATTGAATGTCCACTTTCATTGACAAAAGATTATATGTGTGGCTACCTTCGAAGATTATATGTGGCTACTTTGAAGCAACGTCCATAAGCTGCCAGGCTCACATCACTGCAGAACACAGCTGTGGCAGGAGTAATTGCTTAGGATCCCGGCTGTATTTGCGGAGGATGTAAGGTGATGCTAGAGTTCATAGCCGGGCTGAATTTATTTTGATTAGGTTACGTTCTGGCATATGAGGAACTGCGGAGCTTCCAACCGTTACGATTAATGATGCCTATTCAGAGGATGCGACTTTACGAGCAACTTGTTCTCAATACAGTACATGTTGCCACGACAATCAAAAGTTTATCAAATCACATCATATCATAGTGCTGTCGGCATTGAAGAACAGGCCTGTTGTGGCCTGTCGCCGAATCTTCGTACTATTCGTGACACAGGAGATCTAAAATCAGGCCAATTGACCGGATCTTTTCAAAACTGACAATAGTTTGAAGTAGCTACTAGACTGCCACCAGGTTCGAGATGGTGCTAGGCATTTCAAGTCAGAACATATGTTTCTCCATAGCTTTATCTAGTCAGTTCTTGAACGCGTTCATACTCTCAGCGACAACGATGTAATTAAGCAGGGAGGCTGCTCCACATGTCGGTGACTCGAACCGAGATGTAGTGTTGTCGCGTGCATGAGTTGCAACGCAGTTTTTCTAGTTTATAGCCGCGACCCTGGTGTTGGTTCTTGTTTTAATAAATTTTAGTTGGTTGGTTCTAGTAATCAGTCAGGGACCTTGTGTATACTTCAACGAGGTCGCCATGAAGACGTCGATAATAAAGGCTTCGAAGCTTCACATTCTCTAACCCTTCTTCAAATAACTGGCCTTCTAAGCCTGGAATTATTATTGTTGAGCGTTTTTGAACACTTTTAACGGAATTTGTGTCTTTAAGTTTCGGTGACTACACGGAGTTTGCAAACTCGCACGACAGCGACAAACAGCAGCTTCCAATCTTCTTCATCTAAGAACTTGTATGCGCGACTGATCAGTCCAAGCCGTTTATTAATTTTTATGCATGCGCTTCATTATGCTTAGAAAATAGAAAATCCTTGTCGACTTAAACTGCCAAATCTTTTTCAACTATCGACTTCTCGATAATTACGCTCTCGTTGAAAAATAGAAATTTGTTAAGCCAATTTGTAATATGATATATCAAACTCAAGAAAATATGATATTTTATAAAATATGATATTTTAGAACTCCAGAACTAAGTTCTGTACGATGTTGCAGATCTACGGGATCATGAAATGTTTATTGCCATTTTTTCGCGAATCTCAGCAGCAAATTGTGATACAAATAAAAACCGAGCTATTGTTGCCCAAGCAAAATCTATTGCCGAGTCCAGGCTCTGCTGACTTGGCCTAAGCGCGAGGGCTCAACCTTTTCGACGAGCTCGAGCCCAAGTTCCAACTTCCCTGTCGAGTTTTACGTTCAATTAGCGGCCGCCCCAGAGTACATACAGTCGGCTTAGAGGAGACTCAGGCGCCTATAGGCAACCTAACTGTATTCAGCGGCTATTCACGAGCCGATTGCATGAGTGATTGCCTGATAGGCCAAATATACGAAATCAGACCGAAAGAAGCAGCTAGCCAGGCTTCTGTGGGCAGACGCTGTTATTTGAGCATATCATGACTATATACCGCTCGTGGTATGGCGTCGATGTATGTTCGCGCGTACGTGTTTAGTCATATATACGATGGAACAAAATGAGAATTGACTTTGGATTTTTTTAGCATACGTGGTATTTAGCCAGTAATTCCATTACATACGTGACAAAAATCATTGACAAACTTGATAATGATTACGTGACAGCAAAAAATAAATCTCTTCAGCTCCATGAGAAAATTTAAAAGTCTAATCATAAGGAATTTAAAAGCAAAGAAAACACCAAGCAAATTCACCATATCGATATTGAAAACGTTTCGGAGTCCAGCTCCATCATCAGTTCGAAAAACTAAATGAATAAAATCATATTATAGGTCAGAATTCTAAGACAGACATAAAACCTAAACAAGACCTAACATTATATCGAAAAACGGGACTCGATTGGAACAACTTAGTCCTTGGGGTCACGAAGAGAATATAAAAGCCTAGCGATTCACTATTTCCAGATTATATGAACTAAACGCATTATTGAGACACGGTTTTCGTTTGAAGATATGCAGAGACTCCAAAATTCTCAAATCCGAGCAGCCAGAAGTTGAACCGAGTATCCTGAAATCACTCTCAGCTGCAGCCACGTCGCACTGTTCAGCATGGAGGCGCACGGAAGAATGAGGAGGCTTGGAGAGAGGCAAGTTAGAACGATAGCTCCTGCGATGGTGTTCAGAAACCCAGATGTAGAAGTTACGCGACGTCATTCCAACGTACGCTGATGCGCAGCGCGCCTAACTGAACTCATAGATCAGGTTTGATCGCATCTGCATGGGCAGGAATAGCGTACTTATACCCGAAGAAAGAACCAATTTTGAAATCATTTACCAGCAAAACATGCAAGGCTTCGTCAAAAAAACATTGGCTTAGGTTATCCGCACAGCCTGAGACTCATAAATCTTTTGTAATTGAAGACTAGGATTAAGCTTGTGCTTCCTGGCTGGTATAGAGGTGATGAGGTTAGTTAACAACCGATTTTAGATGGAGTAAAGATGCGTGCACCTCGATTACACTTGAAATAATATGCGAATAATTTTTGAAATAATATGCGTACACACCAGAGATTGGACACATTGGACTAAATTAAATATTGAGCTTCTCACGGACACTTTTTAAATAGTAATCAAACTTGTAGTGCTCATTGTCAGGTACGCCGCCGGAGAAGCAAAATGAAATAACGAGTTTTTTTTATTTAGGCAAAGGGCAAAATTTGTGGAATTTGATATGCAGTTGATCGTTGTTTCAACAACCTCGAGATGCAGGTTGTTTTTAAGCTAAAAGTTGTTTCGAGTGACAATCATCAATGTTGTTTTTAGATTTTCCGATCAATTCACCTCCAAATAAGGCGCTTTAAACACATACATTTATGACTTTTTGAACATACTCGTAATATTTAGCCAAACCTGAAAGTTGACCAAAAACATAACTCAAATAAGGATTGTGGTGGCTTCACATTCAAGCATGCTATAACATAACATAACATAGCAAGATCAGCGTTGCAGAAAAGGTCATGTTTGCCTGCCGCCAATTCTTATAATGCTCTTCACTTGTCTCGGAGAGATCTTGCATGGAGCCTTTTGGCCAGATATATCCAAAACTGACGTTGAAGCTAAGAAGCTGCTGAACATCCACGAATTTGTGAGTTAGGAGGCACTTTTAGTCGAAACATATATGGCGTTATCTATAGTCTGTTCCTGAACGCACGTAGACTCGAAGCGTTATCATTGGGAAGCTGTTCCACATGTCGGTGACTCGAACCGAAAAGCAGTGTTGTCGCATGGATTAATTGCACCGCAGTTTTCTTTTGTTATAGTAGTCGCTGCCCCTGGAGTACTTGTTTCATATTCTAGTAATCCTTCTGGGACTGGAATAGGTTATCAAAATATCGCTAAATGCACATATTGTGTTGTACTCGTGCACAAAAATTTACGTAATGCGCAAGTGCTTGGTCCGCTTTTTAGCACCAGCAAAACTTATGTACGCTAGACTTTTCTAAAATAGTGTTATCAAGAAATATGGCTGAACAGCTATTCGTAGGTTTGCTTACATATTTTGTTTGCCATTTACATTTTTTGTCTTCCCGATCGTTAATTCATGTTCAATTCAATTTAACCTGAATTAAGTGATTTTAAGTCCGATAAGCGTTCAGGTGTGATAAGTGTTGGTCGGACAAGTGTTAAGGTCAGACTCACAATAGTTAAGGGCCGATTAAGGTCCTGCACTGAAGTTCCAGTGTAGTTCCATTACCAATGCTTTTTATGTATTACTTTTTTCTTCATATTTTCATGAGTCGAAAGAGGTTGTTTTCGTGACTAAGGAGATCAAAAAGCAG